CGCGGCTCGCGTCGGTCGGCTTAATCTAGCGGTAAAATAGCGAGACGCGCGGATCGCGCGAGACGAGACGCGGAGATGTGACCGTCTCTCAAAAGGACGGTCGAAATCCGTCCGCTTTCCAAATACCGGATAATCCGAATTATCCGAGCGTTGAAGCGCGCAGACACCGCTCCCTAAATGTATCTCTCTCGATCGCGATTGTTCCCGTTCCTCTTCCCGTTTGTGGCCACTCGAGAAAGTTTCAACAGACGGTGAGAACGCTCTACGGCTTTTATAATGGTACCGTACTTCCCGCTCATCGAGCAATTAGAAATTGTAATTATCGTGCGAAAGCAGGACCGACTAATTTTTAAATTTGTACTTGCGGCAAGCTCACCTGAAAAAGATGTAACGGGCTACGGGGGCGAAGAAGCGACTTGGGAATTTTTACGTGCGATTTGCGCTTAAAATCTCTTAAAGATACAACTGGTACGTCGGAAGAAGATTCATTAAATATCGAGAGAGAAATCGTAAATAAAAAGCCATTATGAATTCGTACAATTTCAACGATGTTTAATCTATACTTGTTAATTTTTAAGAGAGAGAGAGAGAAAAATGCAATAGGCCTCAACGAGTGCAAAGTAACTTGGAAATTTTGTCGTATAATTTATGCTTAATTTTTTGGAGATTTGTATAACTCGGAAGAGAATTCGTAAGTAGGCACTGAGAGAGAAATCGTAAACAAAAACCCATTATAAATTCGTACGATTTCAACGATGTTTAATCTCCACTTGTTAATTATGAAGAAATATATGTAACAGGCTGCATCAACGAAAGCGAAATAACTTGGGAATTTTTACGCATAATTTATACTTAATCTTTTGGAGATACAGCCGGCACGTCGGAAGAAAACTCATTAAATCGGCATCGAGAGAGAAATCGTATATTCATACGGCTCCGATATTTAACTTGTTAATTTTGAAGAATTGTAACAGCTAGGCTGCATCAACGAAAGCGAAATAACTTGGGAATTTTTACCAGAGACCCGGACCGGACGAAAATATCGGTTCGGTTCCGGTTTCGGTCTATTAAAATATTTAATAAAGGTTTCGGTTTCGGTTTCGGTTTTCTAGCTAAGGAAAGTACCGGTATTGTACAAATTGCCGTTTTTTTCGGTTCCGGTTCCGGTTCATTAAAACTTTCTTATTGAAATTTTTATTGAATGAAATTATTTATACATATATGCATACTGCGTGTGTGGATATGTATTTATATTATAAGTTATAAATTTTAATTTTTGATAGAAAAGTTTTTATTTTACATTTACATTACAATTACACACTACTATGCTTTTACTTTTTATAATTTTAACTTATATGATAACTTGGCTTCCTTCCTATTGCCACACTCCACACCATCTCGATAAATAATCGCGTGAATCAACGTTATAGCTTCGAGTAAGACACACTCGTTGTCTATCGCACTTTTACTCTATCATAATGATTCATACACAGATTTTGCCCTTATAAGGGCAAATAAAATGCCAAATAAAATCGAATATATTTAGTCCGGACTCGAACAAGAGACAAAATTTGTTGATAAAATCGGATATATTTAGCCCGAACTCAATCCTAGGGGCAAAGTCTGTCGGTAAATCAAAGCAGGGATACTGGTCTCGACTTTTGAGGGACCATTGGCTATCTGTCTATTAATCTGTAGTACTGCGTATCCCCTCTACCTATCTTTCGGAAAACCCGCGTCTAAAGAACCGAAAAAAACCGTGAACCGAAAATAATTTAACGGTATCGGTTTCGATTCCGGTCCTGTAGGCTTTATAACATTTCGGTACGGTTTACGGTTCCGGTCCGACAAAAATGCCGGTTACGGTACGGTTTTCGGTTTCGGTTTCGGTCCGGTCCGGGTCCTTGATTTTTACGCATAATTTATGCTTAATCTTTTGGAGATACACCCGGCACGTCGGAAGAAAACTCATTAAATAGCCATCGAGAAAGAAATCGTAGACTCCATCGTAAATTCGTACGGCTCCGATGTTGAATTTGTTAATTATGAAAAAATGTAACAAGCTGCGTCAACGAAAGCGAAGCGACTTGGACATTTTTATGTGCTTAATAGAGATACAACTTAGAGATACATACGTAACTGGTACGTCGGAAGAAAATTCATTAACTGGGCATCGAGAGAGAAATCGTGTACACAAAAATTCATTATTAATTCGCACGACTCCAACGATTACTCGGGCGTATTAGTAGGAGAAAGTGCGCGCGGAAACATGTCGTTTCGGTTTCCAAAAGGATCGTTTGTCCGTTCCATTTCGGACGCCACGGAGAATTATTAACCAGATTAAGTTCCGCGTCGATTTTCAAGCAAAAATGGAGTGGATTTCACACGCAATTGATTTCAACGTGAGAGACCGGCGCGCAAATCGCGTACAAACGTCACGGTCGGTAGTAACGTGTGATGTTGCAAAACTATAAATATTTCTACAGCGGTCTCGATCTAAAAATTCGATCCGTAAATTGCCGCGGGCAAATAAAATCGATCAATGATAAAAATCGATGACAATCGGGTTAATATAATTTTCCGAACGAACGAACGGTGGCGGACAATTTCTCGGAAGAAAAAATAACTATGTTTAATGCGATAACTACGCGCAACAACACGTGCTCTCCTTATTATCACTGCGTGATGCCCGTAATTACGCGATCTGAGAAATTACGAGCGTTTGAAATTACATTTACAGGCAGTAACGCGCATCTATAATGTCCTTCCCAGTCTTCAGCGTGTAGGTGTGCGCACGCAATGATATTATTTATAATTCATTTTCCAAACACGCGTTCCATTCACGAAGGCGGTGTCACAATCGTATCGCGGCACCGCGATTACCGTCTCGCGGACTTGCAATCACAGGGGGGGGGGGGCAGGGGGACCATTTAATTATCAGAAGGCATCAGCGAATTATAATCTTCAAAAGTATATAAACCACACTCGGGGGAGAGACACACTCGACGTTCCGCATTGTAGAAGCGCAGTCTGCCGTTGCAGGATATTTCAAATCGGCCAGCGTGCACGTGTTTTTTTTTTCTACACGTGCGCACGCACGGGCGCCTTGTAGTACGTTTCGTGATGATGAAGAGGAGAAAAAAAAGAGAGAGGAGCAAATCGCCACCGCGTGTTTAAAATAAGTATCGATTGCGTGCGCGGTACCGAATATCGTTAAGTTACTCGCGCTTTGTACTTGTTGAATTTTAAGACCCCTATCGCGAGCCCGCCTGTCGTTATTAACCGCTGTATATACTGTATTTCGCAAAGAATAGGATAGAGGAAAGTCTCCTATTATGAGATGGGCGCCTAATATGAGATAGCGGAGTTTCCGCTAACCCAGTGAGAAATGATTCGTCGAAACGACGTCGATTCGGCATCGTTTTTACATCGATCGACGAGTCATTTCTCGCTGGGAAATTAATGGGCATCATCTGATGGTTCCATCGTGAATTTATTGCCCTTGGAGTGAAATCTGCTTAGTGGAAAATTGATTGTTAGATCGTGTAATCGTTGCGAAAAAAGATCTGTGATTGAGTTTGGACGTTGAAAACCTGCTATCTCATGTTAGAATCCTGTCTCATAATAGAGGACTTACCTCTGTCTTTATAAATGTAACAATCGTACATAAAGTATGATTGCACATAGAATATTGTGCAATCTCTCTTTAATCGCAAGTTCACTTTTTGTGAAAGAAACGATGCAAAAGTGATTTTCCTAATTATTTGTTAATTAATCTTCTAGTTACTTGTCTTGCCTATACAAGCAGAGATTATACAAAAGAAAGAAAATACACATACGGACATATTTAAATAACAATAAATTATCTTATATGTATATGTACAATTATATATAAGAAAATTTGTATCTGCTAATGACACGATCAATCAAAAATATTTTAAATCTACAAATAAGAAGTACTTTAATCGAGGAAAAAAGACATTAATAACTATAAACTACTTAATTTTTTTAACGGCGCTGTTAACGAGCAGCGAGCGAGCTCGTGCCGTATGCGGTTCTTCTCTCAGCCGCGTTTCGACCGTGAAAGGAGACGAAACTTCGTAGGCAGACGAGCAAAAAAAAGACATATCACCGTCAAAGTGGTTCATAGATACAGCGTACTTGCACGTCTTGCACAGGCCGGTAATTGGACCAACAAAAAACGCGCGTGTATATACACGTATACGTTCATGTTCCTGTTAACGAGCTGGCCCGGCAATGTGCTGAGGACATTAAAAAAAAAAGATCAAGAAAGATTCTCCTGAAAGTATGTTCACCAAGAGAAATAAAAAAAAAGTGCTCAATCAGCGCGGGTCGAAAAATTAAACGTATAAAAAATGGAAACGATATTCGATCTTGGTAATATCAATGACTCGCTTGCATCCTTACGCAGAACCGTTTTGTAATTCCTTACGCATCGGAGACTCATTTCTGGCCTCATTTACACTTTGCCAGTACTTGATGATAGATAAATTATATCACACGAATTGTTACCGAACACAATTGTTTTCGCTTTTAACCATTTGACGCTCGCGACGAAAAACGGAAAAGAAAAGAATCCCACTATTCGCCCATCCCGTTTTAGCACGCAGCTGTAATCTCGACATAATTAAATCTGGCATGGCTAAATACGTCGTGAGAACAGGACAAGTTGAAGCAATTAACTTGGCTTGTATCAACCAATTAGCATAATCCGTGCATCCGATTTAACGGGAACGAGGAGCCACCGGCGGTGGAATTTCACGATGATTCACGTGAAAGAGTGAGTGGCTTTTGTCCGTGCGCCCGGAATTTCATCTCGTTGATCCGAGAAGTGGAGTAGACGCCTCACGATCGAGGAGAAATCTCGTTAACGCTCATCAGAGACTTTGAAGGAAACAAGCGTTTCGGTTTCGCAGGAAAAATTCGAAAGTCACGATTCTTGTTCGATCGCTATTCAGATTTCAACGTAACGTACCCCCCCCCCCGCTCTCTCTCTTTCTCTTTCTACACTGTAAGAATACTACTTGGCAACTTAATATGTAATACGTAAAAGCGAAGACGCTGAATTTGAAGATAAAAAAAATGTGTCTTTTCTTTATTTCTATAAAACTATATTTAAAGCATTATAAATAATATTATTATTTCCGGTAGAATAGCAATTTTTAGGAGGCAACTTCTTATCCTTGCAAGAGCTTTTAAAATTCCATACTGTCGGTCGAAACTGAAAGTAAACACGCTAGAAGTTACGTTCGTTAATTATTGTACAAAGACTGAGAATTTCGCTAAATTAGGATGCTTACTTTTTCCTTTTAATCTTTCTTCTCGTCGCTCAGCCTCCAAGTGTCGTAAGAACTCTTGGAAAACGTGTAGCCATTTGTTCAAGCTCGTTTTCTTGTAATCCTTAATCCGCTTTTTATTTAACTCGTACGTCTCCTCTTCAGCTTTATCCTTTACATCGTAGGCATTGATCTCCTTTATCAGCGTCATTATCGTCGGGACCTTATCGGGGTCAAATTTATCCACTGCACTCACAATGAATGGTATACAAACTTTACCGGTTTTCGGATGAACGCAAAAAGGCGATTTCAATAAGTGATTTAGGCCTTTGCTGACGTTTATGTCTAATCTTGGATACGAATATTGTAATTTTATCTCTTCGATCAAGTGACGATACAAATACCACTTTCGGTCGCCCTGAAATTAAGTAAATTAAGCGATTTCCAAATTACAGCGCGACAATAAAGAATTGTTGCAGATACAATCGTACCCCCGTCCGTTTAGACTCGATGTACTGTATGAATGCGTTCCACCTAGCCTCGCTGGTACTTTCCTTGTCGAACAACACCTTCACCTCTTGTCTATCTTCGTCATTCGGCAATATCGGAAGGAACTTTTCGATTCCTTCTTCCGTGCCCAACATATTCTGCTCTCTGACGCACATTTCGAGGAAGACAGGATCGATTATATCGAGAGCACGCCTGTAACGATACAATGCCGTCTCTCCGTACGTTCCTGATTTCCATTTAAATTGATTACGAGCGATGTATACACCCACTTGATGGAATGGTGAATTTTATCGCCGGCGAGGTGTACCTTCTTCTTCTTGAATTCACCTCCGCCTATAATCTGCAAATACTCGGCAACCGCAGCTCGTACCTGCCCCGACAAATTGCGCGCCGCGGAGTCGCATACCCAACAATGAATACCTCTTCTGCCGGAGAACACCCACAAGATGTGTTTGTATCCAAAATCCACTGTAAAAGCGAATCGCTCGGTCACTTCAGAATATTCGCTGGCATTACAGGCACAGCGATAACACAATAAACACGTCTTACGTCTCAGCGCGCTGTCCAATATCTTGCAAGCAAGCGACATGTATTTCCAACACTTGCCGCAAATGTCCGCCCCCTTGCAGCACGTTCTTACCTCGTCGTAATCGGTCATATCTATATCGAACACCAATTCTCTCTCCACTGGTTGAAAATTAGGGCCTCTTTTTTGGTCTTTCGGCCTGAGAATAATATAAACGCCGAATTTTATTCACTGCGCCCCATTTCTTCGAAAATGGTATCATATTTTTATACCAGTACTCTTTGTGACAGAAAAATTAAAGCTGACGTGACATTTTTGATGAAACATAGATTTAAAATGTGACAGTTTAAACTTTCTTTTCCGATTGCTTTTACTATTCAATTTGACATTCCGTTTTAAAATAAAACGATTACTAGTGTAATTATCAACGTTCCCCCCGTCTCTCCCTGTGTCGCAAAAACCTACATTAGGCCCACTTTACAGGTCTCAATAGACTCAATTATGACAGTGACAGAGATCTGAAATGCGTGATATTTTTGAAACAAGATAAAGGTGATACAAAATAGAGGAAAGTCCTCTATTATGAGATAGGTTTCTAATATGAGATAGCAGGTATTCAATCACAAATGTTTCGCAATGATTACGCGATCTAACAATGAATTTTCCACTAAACAGATTTCGCTCCAAGGGCAATAAATGCATAGTGGAATCAACAGACGATGCCTGTTAATTTAACAGAAACCCCGCTGTCCCATATTAGGCTCTTATCTCATAATACGAAACTTTCCTCTACTAGTCTCTTCGTAGAAAAATATGTATCCATACATATATCCAGATGATCAAGTGTCAAAAACAGATTTCGCAAAGTGTTTACATATTTTATCAGTAGAACACCAGCAGAAATATAAAGATTCGGTTAACAGAATCCGACAGACTGGTCGCAGAAATCGAACCATTTGCCATTTCGTAACCATTTATACTCCGCTCAGTTTCTGCTGACGACCCATCGTCAAAATACATCGGCAAGTTCTGTTGGCAGTAATACAAACTTAGTATCGATGCAACTAACTAAATCTTGATGTGCAGCAACACTCGGTTCAGATTCACTGGCCAACCGCTAACATTTCGCTTAGGAATGAATTCTACAAATGACAATATGTCAGATCATTGGCCGCGTTGAACAGGAAAAGCTGCTTTGCGACAGTTGTGAAATTCGTAAATTTCACTGGAGTATGCCCTTAGATTCTACCATAATTAAGAGCATAAGCCAATAAGACTCAAGATTTTTACAACAGTTTCAAGGCAGCTCCTTTTTCTGCTGAACGCAGCCATTGAGATGTATCGCTTAGAATCATTTCGACACAACTCGGTTATCTTGTGTACAGTAAACTGCGATATACTTTACTGAACGTTATAAACCGCTCCTATGTCTATTTTATGTGGCAGCAATCTTTTAATCTCGTCCGACAGTCCCTTCTGGTCGCTGAAAGACTGATAGCGTATGTAAATGTCATCCGAGAGGGTGAAGGAGAATTCTCTCTTGCTGAAAGTGCTGGCTAAAAAGAAGAATGACATTATTAAATACATCTAGAAAATATGTATCAAGTGTACACAGAGATAAGTTGGGGATCTTACCGTTTCCATAACTCAGCCACCTATAATAGTCAGCGAAGGGAAACAGTCTCGAGTAATAGACTGGTAATAAGTCAAGCAAATCCGCAACGTCACCCATTTTAACGTCGTCAGCTTCTTTCCACTTCCCTCGGGCGAAAGTTAGACGCCTTTGACTCGTCCCTTAGGATGTCACGTAGCACAGAATTGACCCCCTGCGGTAATGTTATTAACACGAATATATAATAAGGTTATGCACTAGGGGACCTCCTGCTTTTGTTACTGCAGCTCTTCGATTCGTTAAATGCTTAAACTGTGAGTCTGTGACAATACTGCGTGTCTCAACGTTGAAGTTATGTATAACCCGTTGAATAACACACGAGAATCGAGCGCAGAAACACACGGAGAGAATCGCACCAGAGAAATGGCGCGAAAATCGTACGACAAGGTTATGGTTAGGGCTGCGTTCAGAAACGTCACCCGAGGTCTGTTCTTTATAGGTGAACTGGGGGCAGTTCATCTATGAAGAACAGATCTTTCGTTATCGTAATTCTTTCGCTAATTTTCTCTCTTGCTCGTCTTAGGTTTTTGTAACGTAAAACCAACGGCACACGATACTATTTTTCCTACTGGATTGCTTACAAGAGCCAATGGCCGCGTTCAGCAGA